TTTTCAGATGTATGGTTTCCATTGTACAGTGACCGGATATCCAGCAGCGCGTAGGGATTCCAATTTGCGGCTAGAACAAGAACTAGCTTGGCTATCTGCAAGTGCTTGTCGTGTTATGGTGCAGGTATGAATGATCACTTACTTTGATTGTTGCTAGCATCAGTTTTTATAAACGAGTGGTGAGATAACGCGGGGCATTTCATTTCTGGTACTGTGCAGAAGAGCAAAGAGTTCCTAAAATGGGTGCCCGCAACTGGGGCAACCGATTGATTGTTAGTGTTGTCATCGCATCATGTAATAGGATAATCAGTAAGCGTACGAATTGGCAGGGTTCTGTATGGCCTATTGCAGCGATTTGCATGAGTAGGGTTTTATATTATACAAAATCCTTATCTCGAAGATGGGGAGGGCGTGATCGGGACTAGTATGTGTGGCGTTAGACAGGTGCCGATTGACTCAGAAGCTCAGGCAGCGTGTACATAAGGGGCATGGATGGCACGAAAAAATTCGGTACACTTTCTACTCATCCCCGCAGTAACCGGAAACCGTTTACAGCTACCGCACTGATATTCAGGTTCATGGACGCGCCTTCCCCATTTCTGGAATATAGTGAGTATGGGCACAGTTCGGCGACGGGAAAGGGGGGCATTTTGCACTTTCGCTGCTTCACTAGTTCCTGGTTTAGTCTCACTCTGGTGAAACCTGTGAACTCTTGTGAAGCTGGAGCAAGCTCGTCAAGCCATCATGGTAAAACCTGTCAACTCAAGAAAAGGCTCTTCGATACGTCGGTGGGAGGTAGCAAAAGTGCAAAATGCCCCACCTCCCCAAACTGCCCTTACAGGGAACGGCGAACATCATGAGGGATTAGAAGGGCCTTGCTCATTATAGCCCTTCCTCCTGTATGTCCCAGTGAGGGACTCGGTCTCCAGTGAGGTCTCCCCCGAAATCTGTCAACTGTGAGATGTATGGCGTGCCTGAAGGGGAATAATCGCCAGTCAAAAACACTCACCGGAACAATTGCAACTATCACCTCCAGCTAGCCAGTTACGACCTCTTCTTTCAAAAATGTATTTTACAGGATCCGATGTACACTTCGGTCGGATGTTGGAAGCAGTCGGATAAGCTGACGTGAAAGTCTGCAGAAAAATGCTATCTGAGTTGTTACGTTAACTGTTTTGTGAACGTAAAATGTGGTTGTGCTGGTGATGGTGGTACTAGAATGACCCAGTAACGAAGCAAGTTTTAATATGTTATTGTTTATCCAGAATAAGCCTTGTCTATTCTAGCTTTCATCGGGATCATCATCACTGTCCGATCATTCTCTCAGCACCGCTGAAGATGAACAAGCAGAGAATTCTGGCTAAAAAGCAATGGATGCGTAATTGAAGAAAGGCTCAGTTTGACGCGAGCATGCGCAGCGAGAGCGGGCTAAAGCGAAATCATCCAGAAAGGGTTGCCGCCATCGGCACAGTCAGCAGGTGAGACATTTGTCATAAAATACTTTAGCATTTCCGCTGACATATCAAATTCCCTCAATTCACGGTATTACTATGAATTTTACCAAGAAGAGCAGGAAGTCTCGGGTGGTAAAAACTTATCTGCCATCTGCCGAGCAGTTCCTAGTTGTTGCCTTTCATCCTAGTGCATCTTCTCCAGCGAAAAGTGTTCTCCATAGAAGGCATGATGTCTATCCATTCAGATCTTGTATTTCTCCGGGAGTTCCTATCTGCATGTGCGACATCAACGGCAGGATTCCTAGCCAGGTGGCTCCCTTCGGGACCAGTGGTCGATCCAGCACGATGCCAACTGACCATTGTCCAGACTGATATGATTGTCGGAAAGCCTGTCAAGGTATGTTTTGCCTTCAATTAGCGATTTTCCTCAAAGCCCTCTTTGCGCTGATGGTGTCGTAGAAGACTGAGATCCATTTCATTTGTACTCACCTGACAGGAATGTACACCATTGAGGGAGGCACAAATGGCTTCTCTGTCTCCGCCCTTCTGGTTTTCATGGAATGTACCTTTCAATGATTCCGATTTCTTTAGGTGCGTCTCACCACGAAAGACCAATTTGACCGTGAAGTGATGTGCTCGTCAATGTGTGTTGAAGTGTCGATGACGGCTGGAGATGCTTCCATCTATTCTTCTGCTCGATTCGCCTCTGCTGCTCTACCCTCACTAGAAGTCATCAAGAAGGTAAATGAAAAATTCTATCTTCTTATCTTTGAATTTTGGTTATTTCCTATGTAAAATTTCTTATTCAGAATCCTTTTCAACCGGTTCTCATGAATCGATGTCGCTATATGTCTATATCAGCGATGCCTGGCCTATGCTAATTATTCCTATGAAGAAATTCGACTGGGGTTCACAAAAGCGACTGTAGTACGGGAAAAGATCAACCTGAAGCACAAGAATAACTGCACGTGAGTTCGTTCTATAAGTTTACCTCTATTAATTCCTCCGTTTTCGTAGGCCTTCTTTACTGTATCCTCTCTCGATTTCAGGTTTGAAGGCGAGTGGACGCCATCGGTGGCTGGCAGCTATCGAGTCGCATGTCGAGTGGACGGTTGTGAGCTAACTCATAACTACCTCATAGAGGTGAGCTTTTCCTTGAATTCCATAGGATTTTAAGCACTTTTTCATTTCCAGATATCTGAGCGTGAAGAGAATGTGAAACGTCGTGAACACCGTGCAGCGCAGCTGAGCAGGTAGAAGTTTTGAATCATTTAACGAAGCCTGCTGCTTTGGATAATTTCCCAAATTCTAGCAGTTGTAGGCGCGACCCTGCGAATCACTAGTTGGCAGCCTACATTGGATAGAAAATAGATCTACGCGTTAATCGAATCAGTTTCAGGACAAGAAGGCTAACCAATCCCTGGCTACGTTAGCCGTTGTCAAGCGATGTCGACATGCGATTGGCACTCTCTGACGGCACGTTGCGTCGGCACCAATTCCAAGTGATTCTTGAATGCAATTTTGATAATAAAAAGTAGTCCGAAAAACAATGAAAGTACCTAAGGGCATGCAGAAAATGCAAAATGACGGAAAGGAGGGGATATGAGTGGAAGAAGAGCAGCTGTGTGCAAGTGAATAATTGAAAAACCATGAGGGGGAAAAAGAAGGGAAAAGGGAGATACGGAAAATGTTCTGGCTTGAAAAGCCGCATGGAAGAGAAAAAGAACGAGCGGAAGCTTTGCTGGTTACCTCCATCATCACAGGTTGAGGGGAACGGGGGAGTCTCCTACAAGGGAGTCGCATTGGAATTTGGAACTGACGGGAAAGAATGCGGGTTTTTACTGCTCTTGGAATCATATCTAGTCTTTACTTCGAAAAACTATCTTCAGTGACAAGGAGGAGGTATTGCTTTGATTACCCTTTCCACATCGCCGTGGTGAGCTTATGTTCGGACGGATTTGTTGGGCCCCAAAGACACGTAGCAGTTCTTGCGCCTGGCTTTCTCCGCGGCGATATTACAGGAGTAGAGGCCTCCTGGCTTTTGTGTGGAGATAGATTGTGATCAAACTGCGACGTAGCTTTTTTTGCTGTTGGTTCAGACAGGTTGAAAATAAGGGTGTCATGTAACGTCGGCTCGCCATTAAGCTCACCGCGACGACACTCAATTGGTTATCATGCTGTGTGTAGCGTGGAAGTATTTCTTGTTCTGAATGAATCTTCTCTAATGCGGCATCACATTTCGTTGTTTAAGGGCGGAAGTATTGCGTACATTGAAAAGATCGAGAATGAAGACGGTAAATGGCTACGACTCACTGACGAGACAGCCGTCCTGTATGGCCATGGCAACGTCTCGGGACAGGTAAAATTTCGCTTTCGCAGGTTCAGGAACACTGACTGTTTCATAGAAAGTTTACGCTTCACTAAGATGGGCTATGCGAATATTATTCGTGGCGGAAGTAAATCCCAGCGTACGCAAAGTCCCCCCCTGCGGTGCCATGTTCGGAATGAGCACAGAGTGCAGAAAGCATTCGAGTCCCGGCAGCACAAGCTGCTAAGGCATCTGATTGGGCGGTCGACTTTTATTTTGAGGGCATCTGACCAATAAGGTACTAGTGCGGATGCCGTGCACGCGACAACATCGTCTTCGTCGCGCCGCCGCATTTCGGAACTCTCGATCCGCAACCGACGTGATAGGACTCCATGAAAGTTCAAGCCTAACACGGCATGTGCGGTGGTATCTGCGACTCGGGCAAGACTTCTATATATAGAAATAGTCCATGTTACGAAGAGTCCGTGTCAAAGCTTTCGCAAACCGCTCGCCAAACACTTCTTACTCAAGTCGCCCGAGTCCGTATCAAAGCCTTCGCAAACCGCTCCTAGAATCACTTCTACTGAAGTCGCGCTCCCTCCGCTCCTCAGCGTGTTTTATCTCATTTTTTGATTGCAGTTACTAGATTTACCTTTCTTTTTTCCACAGATTTTTTTGATGTACTTATTTGACTGTATTTAGGTGTGGTGTCTTGCATACCATCAGCATCTTCGCCGAGAACTGATACCGATTGCCAGTGATATGGTGGATCGACTGCCAGTAAGACGTCAAGAAGACCCACCGACTCTGCAGGCTTCATCTGCTCAGCAGAGTGTCATCATTGATGCAAACGAAGTAAGTCTAGCTTTTTGCATAGAAGGTGCAAGATTCCTGTCTCAATGTAGATGTAAGGGCCCATTCCACCCCGCAGTGGGCGGAGTCATTTGAATCTTACACGTTCGTTGATGCGCCACTCGCGCCCCATTCCACGTACCCCCCCCGCCCCTCCCCATCTTTAAAAATGGTGCTATAAGCTCTTGAAATCTTTCGAGATGGTGCGAGATACTTCATTAATGACTTTATGTATGCTTTTTAGACATACATTTTGGATGCGTCACAACGTATCCAGTTGTACAGTCGGCCGTCTCCTGACGCACTCATCGAGGGCGCATGGATTGAGGGACGTACGGAGTTGGAAGGAAGCGGATGGGTTTCGAATCAACACGGCGTTTGGGTTTCGAGTGGCGAATACCAATCAGTTCATTCTAGCAGAGGTACGTCTGAAGTAATTTTTGATGCAGCAGCATAATTGCGCTTAATTTTTGTCCCTGTTCGAAAGAAAAAATCAGTGGGCGCTAAAGGACCTTGAGGACACCAAGGGGTCCTTCTCATCAGAATGTATTTACCGTACTTAGTTATGTTTACTCACCCTCTGAATGTTTTCAGAATTCCATCGGTCGAAGCGCAATTCAATCGCAATCGCTCTCTATCAATGGAAATGAGGAAGAAGAACGATCACCACCGCCACGACATCAGGGGTAATGATACTAGAGATACTAATTGCGCGATTAGGCGTACACAGTTGTAGCGTCTAATCCTCCCAGTTGAGTAGATTTAACAGTGAAGCTCGTTCATGACTATTTCTGCCATAGGTGCTGGATACCCTCTCGAAACCATTTGAACCATCGTAGACCATATTGCGAGCGGGACAATCGCAATCGCTTGACCGGAATTGCACTCCATGTCCCAGAGATGGAGGGGTGTGGCTCCACACTTCAGTTGAACATGGCCGGCGGATGCATCCTTTGACGTCGTTCTGAGACTCACAAAAACCCCTATGTTCAAAAGAAGTGCAAAGGCCACCGTCCTCGTCTCGCTGAATATGCAGAGCACCCTTGGTTATTTGTTTGCATGTACGTCTAAACTAATATACAGTGGAAATTCGACTCTGACTCAGACTCTGTCTACTGGTATGCATTATTTCAGTGCTACTTCAATGTCATCAGCTCTCCGGCCGTCTGTCGTCGAATGTTGTCGCGCTGTGTTTGCTGCTTTCTTATGGCATGAACATCTTGGTAAAAGATGCCATGGCCGCTGCAGCATACCTGAGGTTTCATCAGCATCTGCAAAATGTGGGTAACGTTGTCTGGTTCGCACTTCCAACATCTTGCAGAACGTTAGTGCAGTAGTTGAATCGAGTAGCCCTCGTATAAATCGAGGGATACATTTCTACCAACCGATAAATTCGTAATAGTTTATTATTGCTTCGAAAACGGTTTCTCTTAGGATCACTAGTTCGAAAAGAGGAGGAAGGGAGGTGCTACGTTTGCGGCTGCTTGAGATTTTTTAGCTGATAGCTTGTCCTCTTTGAGGTGCATTGTGCAACCCTGGGCGCAGTTCAGCTTCGTGGGGGAGCCAAGTAGTATCTAGAGAAAGAAGCATGTAGAGGTCAGCTTTCGAAGGCCTTTGAATGCCAGTAACTATGTTATCTCACTTGTACCGCTTCGCAGCTTCACATCTTTACAGTCATCAAAGTATTAGTTAGAAGTTGGTCAGTTGCATACTGGTTATTAGCATATTATTAGCACATATTAGCACACCGAAAATCAAAAAAAATTCGGAGAGTGTTCGAATTTGTGGTTTGCTCGTTTCAAAGGCGAGGGAGCAAGATCTCTCTCGCCTTCGAAACGGACGGCGCCGGTCCACCCCACCCCTCCCCTTCTAGTCTATGGTGTCTAATTTACGTCATATTGACCACCTCAGAAGCGGTCTCCCATATCCAGTTGATCCTGAGAGTCGTGAATTTTGTAGTTAAGAAAGAGCGCGTCCTTCGTGTTAATCTCGTTGCTTTTGTAGTACCACCTGTTCCCAATTCCGAATCTGGGCATGTCGTTGTTGGGGATTCCCCAGCAGGGATTCCCCAGCAGGCGAGCGTCATATTCAGCTTCCAGAATTTTTTCTTTACAGCTGTGGAATCACTCCGATTGCCGCGAACAGCCAGCTCCAGCCGCTCTGAACCATCGTTACGCTCTGGATTGAAGTTTGTGCTGCTGTAAGAACAAGCGTCGAGCAGCACCTGATTGTGCCGCCAGCTGGAGGCAAAGCATTTGCAACTACTACTAGGAAAAGAGAGTATCTCTCTAGGCGTTCTTTGTATTGTTCTACTTGAAATCTGCCAGACAGCAGAGAACGAGTCATACTTTGGGTAAGATCACTTATTCTTCGCCAGTGTTCGCTGAGCATTACTGTGAAATATGTAGCACTTCTAACAAAAAGCAGCCATGAGCCGTTTTTCCTTTGTGCCCTAGTCTTCGTGTGGTCAAAAAGGGTCCCCCCCCCAAGTCTGTTTCATACAAACCTTGATTTCATTTGTCTTGCCTGAACCTGTTATCCTTGTCTGGAAATCTGGGCGTGTCTCCGCTTTTTTTTTAGGTGGGGGGGGGCGAGGAAAGGGTGCAGAGAAGGCGCAATCTTTCGCAAAATACGATCCCCTCCCAATTGATTTCCTGCTGGAGACCACCTTCTCTTCTTTACCTACGTAGCGTAGTGACTTTTTCGCGACTTTCTACTATTCTTACCGCGTAGTTTCTCAGGAGTCCTTTTGCAGAATACGATCCCCTCCCAAATTTCCATACCCGGTAGAGACCGCCTTCCCCTTCCTACCTACTATTTTATACTTTCCCAACTTACTAATTTTTTCACGCGGATTTTTCAAAAAAAATTTCCAGTACCCTCCCCCAAATTGCTCAATCGAACTAGTGGGGAGCAGCAGTGGAAAGGCGAAACCGAGTTACCCGGGGAAAATTCCCCCGCTCTCTAAGATTGTTCTCAGGGGACAAAGTGACGCGAAATCCCCGTCCCCCCTTCCTAGGGGATTCTGCACTACGAGCATTACTATGTCGGCACTGCCATCACCAACAGCGTTTAGAGTGCGGACCGTTCACTCACACATACTCAGCAGACTTGTCGAAGTACTTTTTAGCCGTCTGGTGGAGGTTGTGAGCTGTGCGACTGCAGTTTCAAGGAGGTTCGGTCACGATGCCCACATCGCGATCATGAATCATCGGATTGCGGCAAGGCTATGCGCAAGGGCTCAGTTTCGAAGTATAGCGCTAGATGTCATTATACCCAAACTTCCACTTTTCAATATCATGCATTACAATCTTTGTGATATTTTGCATATTTCTGGGTATTTCATTTGTTTTTAAAGCACCCTTCTGCGGCGACTCGGTACAATTTGCATACCTGATAATTTACTCTGTTTAGATTGTTGTGGCATAATAGTGAATTTTACCATTACGATTGCGAAACACTGTTGAAACTGAAGATCTACATTGGAATCGTAGCTCTTAACGAAAGAGATCAGTACGGCTACAATTCTCAGGAAAATTCACTTCTGGTTGGTCTGGAGATTGTGGGAGTGGAGGACGAGCGCGTCAACCTGGTAAGTTCAGAGAAGCAGCTTATTCCCAAAAACGGATTTGGGAGACAAAAATCATGCCGAGGGCTCTAAAGCTTCGGAGGGCTCACCACTTGTCTGGTCAGCGACGGTGAGAGCTTCACACCTGTGGGGTTTCTCTATTGTATTGACTTGGAGGTCCTATCTACGACATCTGACAAATCCAAGCCCGGGTTATATGGTCAAAATAGGCGGAGATCTCATCCTTCGATCCTGCCTTAGGTTAGCATAGCTAAGGCGGTTCAAGTGACGATTGAGACATGAGTAGGATCTTTACCCACTTTTTCCATCTCAGGCTTTTAACTTTTCAGGTGTGGCTGAGTTGGTGTTCATTGTTGCTAGTGTCCTTCGCCGTCTCTATGACTTCTGCGCCTTGAAGACACGTCACTGTTGATCATATGGGCGAGGCGATCAGTTCATTAAATCGCCTTATTCTCTTCTAAACCATGACGAGAAGGAACACGTAACTATGAAGCCGCGTATGCTTACTGTCCCGCCCAATGCTTATAGGTGTTTGACTGGGCCGCAATGATAAAAATAAAATTTCCAATCGATGCGGCAATTCAAGTTTTTTTGCTTCGTTCCAAGTTTTGGAATCCATTGCACCTGTTCAGGTATCTTCTTTGCCCTGCATGCCGTGCACAGTACCTACGGAAAAACACCAGCAGGACATCGACAGGTAAGTCTCTGGAGTTCTGTACACTCAGTAATTTGTCATTCAAGAGTAACTTGATGAGTGATCTAGGACACGAACTGTCGATGGCCGTGAGTTTCGCTTATCCACGAACGCTTTCGACTCGCGTCCAGAGATTATCATGCGGCAGAATGCGATGTTCCTGTTGGATTTGAATTCATCTCTGGATTGTGACTCAAAGGTTGTTAACTTATCCATTTTTTACAAGCTTTTTTGACTTTGAGGTGTTTCTCACTTTTAATTCATTCGTTGCATTGGAGCTAGTCATGCTACCCCGAAGTTCCGACAGCGATTCCTTTTTCATATTTCTTCCCACCTTGGAGGGTTGTGAATCTCATAAATAATTCTGCGATTAATCGAGTGATCAGTTTCTAGGCTGATCTTCCTATCGGCTACCTGCTGGATCAGCAATCAATTGCTGTTCCCTATATATACACTCCGAGTCATCGAGTGATGGCGAGTGGGTTCTTTTATATATTATGGTAATTTTCTCGTTCTGAAATCTTCTTGAATCGTGTCTACAGCATAAATTTCAGATCGATTCGGCTCTCTTTGCACGCTCTTCGTTCCTGTCACAGTCGCTGAGTAGCTGACTCGTCACTATCTTCCAAAGCTTTGTCCGACTCTCTATTCTAGTCATGGCTAATGATGAACTCGGGGGAAGTGGATGAGGGTGTACACTAGAAGGAGGTTAGTAGCCTGCTATGTCTTTATTTTCTCTGATTAACTGCAGGCAGTTCTTTTTCTTCTCTTATATATTTCCTTTCTTTATAGTTACACAAGCTATTTATTACTCCACGAGGTCTGCATCATATTATTATATTAACGTTATTCAAAGTCCATTCGGATAGTTCGTGCTTCGTGCAGGAAAAACAGTTGCTAGTAAAAAATGGTGCATCAGTCGGAAACTTCAGAAAGACATTATAAGGTCGTGACATGTAAAGAGATAGCATGGATCGCCGCCTCTGCCCCGTCTTTTCGCCAGTTACCTCCGCCATTCGAGATCTCATAAGATTTGAGCTTTTTCAGGTACTGCAATCACCGTCAGCTGCGCTCAGGACGCTAATTTCACATCACACTCCGAGTACTGCTGAAATGCTCAAAAGACCTGTACTGGCGTTCGTAGTCGAGCATCATGACCTAAAAAGGTGATTTTCCCAGTTTTACTATGGAACGAGTCAGCTCATACACATTGAACCCCAGTTGGCCGTACGGTCGCGGCAAGGTCGATGTTCTCGAGCTAGTGAGTGTACGGCAATAGCCTAATAGAACATATAAGGGTGTCTCGAGAACTGTCTATCTCGCTAACCCCTCCTACTCTATATTCTTTCAGGCTTCGAGCAGCCTGCGAGCAGTCGATTATTCGAGCGATTGGATTTTCGCATGCGTTTCGCGTATGGAATTGGCTGCTGCGTCTAGTTTCGTCAGAAACCAGGTGACGATTCGATATTTGTCCAATTTTGGAGGCTGTTCTCCCTTCCTAAGCGTGCATTTCTGCAGTAGTTTTCGAAATAGTACTTCATGAACTAAGTACGTGGGTTGGCTATTCATGCTCTACTTTTAGCGTGTCCGACATCATACTGCAGTATCTCACGGCACTGTCGTCGTACAATTCGTTGTCAGAAGTGGTGTCTTCTCAGGTGGTACGGGTACTTCCACATCCATGGAGGCTATGCTTCTTGGCTGGACCCTTGGCAGGTGAGCCTTGAAGTTATTATGTCAACTTCGCGGTGAGGACTGTACTGGAAACGGATAACCAGATCGGGGCGTACCTTACAATGGTAGAACGTTCCTATGTACTGCCTCCGGCTACTTCCAGATTATTGCCGTTCATGACAAGAACAAAGAGCATGCTGAGGAAGATAGAGGTGCTCGCGCGCGATTTTCCGAGCTAAAAAATTTTCAAATTATTTTTGTTCTCTTTTTCTCTCTTCAGCGAGTAGGTCGATATTACAAGCTCAGTGAGAGGATGGCGTAGTTGGCCCTGACGGCTCGGGGCATTAACATCCATGCGTCTGCATCACGCGCGCGACATTCGAACTAGGACCTAATTGTTTTAAAGTTGGAGTGCTGAATATGTTGTTGGGTCTGGAAACAGGGAAATGCCGACTATTTTGTGGGCACCACCGTAGAATGGACAGTAGACATCCAAATCTTTAGGTCTTGTGAGGCTTGACACATTGAACTCGTGATAGATGATAGCTACATTTTCTTTACATCACGTACTACAGTGACAGACTGATAGGAGTTGCGGAGCTTTTCTATTGCGGCAGCCATCTATTTAGTTCTCAGTAGTGCTACTCAACCTGACTTCTGCGTCGTTGCAGCGAAAATGCGTTCACAGCTTCACGCCGTTCCTTTACACCATCCGTGTCCAATACTCGTATCATAGCGGATGTCGACGCGTCGTCTTCGTTCGTTGCTGCTCAAAGCTTCGTGACGATTCACTAACGGCCTCACTGAGCACGTATGAACCTTCTTGCTTGCATTGAACGCAATTCTAGATTAGCCTAAACTATCTGCGATTAGATTGACACAGTTATTCAGCTGATTCTTCCAGGAACTCCTGATACTCACCTGTAACATCCTCGGTACCGTCGGTGGTGTACTGTCTGAGCCATCGGTTTCTGAGAATTGGATCACTGACTCGACAAACCAGTCGCATAATGCCCAACAAGGAAATGACAACGTTGACGTCAAGGTTACTATCTGATTTGTTAACGGTTTTCGAAGTTCAAAATAAGTTCGCAGTTTCAGCTAGAGGGATCGCAAGTTTAGAGGGAACCTTATTGGGAAAGAAATCAGAGGCATTGTTGTTAGCGTCATTTATTCTTTAGGGCATCATTTTTCGAAATTTAGGTCAAAATCTCGATTTGGCTTGGAGTCCTCGGTGTAGGTTGACCCCAGATCACTAGCGAATTCAATGTTTAACGCTCAACGATTGTGATATTCCTGCTGAGTAACAAAGTCCAATTGAACCTTGCTAAAATTCTGAAACTTGGTGTCGTAAAGGATGAGTACTACAGTACTGACGCCGGCGAAGGCCAAAACAAACGGAAAAGGGACTTGGTCCAACATTCCTCCACATCCCCGCCCCCACACACTTAGCATCGCAAGAAACATAAACGTAAAAATGAATAAATGATTCATTTTCAATGCATTTCATCAGAGAGGTTATTTTGGAAAATAAAATTGATTGAATTATTTTTTTGACTACAATCCAATTGAAGAGCAACATTTACTATATAATAAGTTCCTTGTAAACAAATTAATTTCAGGAGATGCGTGATATTACAAGTCACGCCCGAATAGAAGCCAGCTCACGGCAAGCGATGGTTGTTTGTTTGACCGATGGGAGTCCTGAGACATTTTGGGAGAGCGGTGATGAGGTTTGGCTCGCACATTTTCTGCCTTCTTTCATGTCTATATGCCAAAGTGTGACCATAACATTTATTAGATTCACTGCGTTACTACCATATTATAATTACAGTAGGGTATGCTTGAATTAACTTATATGGTCCTAAGATCGGTTTTCTGGAATACATAGTAATGGTCACTATATGTGAGCAGGGCTTGCCTGCTCCTCTGCCGTTGGGGTGAATTTTGGCGGAATACGATCTTTCCCCCACTCAGAATTTCCTCCTTTGGTAAGACCTCCTTCCCCATCGCTCAGCCTACCTGTCATCTTCGTGAATTTTCTCTTTTTTGTACCACTTTCCCGGCGTTTTTCTCCCATTTCTGTCAAGAACTAAGTAGGAAGAGTGGGAGGGGGG